TTGATTAAGATGTTATGAAAGCACAAAATATACACACGTATGATGGTTGATTGGTTGTGCCCACCTGAGTAAGTAATGAGCAACCAAATTGGCTCAGCATAGTTCTGGGTGTGGAAGACCCACCTTAGGAAGGATTATCACCAGAATGCTATAAAGGGGAAATGGAGGAGGAAGGATTGCTTCTGTCTTCTTCAGAGGAGCTCCAGTGTTTGCCTTCACCTTGGAGTCATCCCCTGGCTACCAGTGCAGACTTGTCAGCCTTCTGGTGTAGACCCTTCAGCCTTCCATTGCAGACCCTTAGGTCTCCATTGAAGACCCTTTGGCCTCCTGAGGCCAACTCACACAGGACACTACAGTGAGCTCCAGGCCTTTGGCTAGATCCTTTGGATCCCCAATGCACACACAAACCTTTTGCACTTTCCACATCTGACTTGCGGGGGGCAATTGTGTCAATCTTGTAAGTTCTTATATATTTATATACTTGTATTAAATCTGTTTCTCTAGTATGCACGGGCTGATATAACACATCTAAGATGTTAGTTATCTGTGAATCCGTAAGCAGAGACACTTTTTTTTTTTTGGTACTGGGGATTGAACTCAGGACTTTGAGCTTGCCAGGGAGGCAGCAGAACCACTGAGCTAAATCCCCAGCCCAGCACAGACACTTTTTTGAGTAACATGCATAGTGCAAAAATCAATTTTTTTATTATTCTCATTCCCACTTTATATGTCTCTTTCATTTTTTCCAGCTAGTAGATTCCTTCTCTCTTATAATCTTTGCCCCAGGCATTATTCAGTCCCTACCCTTCCTCATTTATAACAAAGAACAGCCTTTTTCTTCTAATTCGGCAAAATTTCTCTCCACCCTACCCAACTCATTTGTTGCAAGGAACTTAGGTTTAAGGCACAATTCCAGTGTACCAAAGCATTTCTTAAGAAAGCCAATCTCTCCTTTTGAATAATAGCTTTCTGTGTGGAGTAATTTGGCTCTCAGGAGACATTTCACAAAGTCTGGAGACATTTGTGGCTATCACATCTACAGGGATATTATGGCATCTAGTAGAATTCTGTAGATGCAGCTAAAAAAATCTTACAATGTACAGGATAATCTCCATAACAAAGAATTATCAAATCTAAATTATCAATCATACTTCTGTTGAGATGTGCTTCTATAAAGAAATTCTTCCTGGGATTTAGCTCAGTGGTGCCACTCCCTGCCTCACAAGTGCAAGGTCCAGAGTTTGATCCCAGGTAACACCCCCCAAAGAAGTTCTTATTAGCTGCAAAGATATTTTCTACTCTGCTACTATCAATTCTTTGTTCTGTGTTACAACTTTTACTTTGGGATTCTCTTTTTTTTGGTACTGGAAATAGAACTTGGATCCTTATGCTTTTGAGGCAGTCAGCAGAACCAGTGAGCTAAATCCCGGCCCTGGGATTCTCATTTTTTTTTTTTTTGTATCAGGGGTAGAACTCAGGACCTTGTGCTTGTGAGGCAGGTGGCAGAACCACTGAGCTAAATCCCTGGCTGGGATTCTCATTTTTAACAACTCATGCTTGTGCCATCAGAGTTTGAGTTCTCTACAAGATAATGAGAATTATGTTTGAAATTATGGATCTCCCTCTGTAAAGGGAAAAGGGAAGGATCAGGGCTGAGCAAGGGAGAAGCCCAACAGAAGCCTCAGCAGACCCCAGGATCCACTGAGAAGGCCCTCCAGCCTTGACCCTCTTGGGTAGAAAATGCTGAACTTTTAGACTATAAGTCACTAACTCAGCAGAGGACAACACGACCTCACAGTAGGCTGCCTTCTGCATCCCAGACCAATTCTAGAGGGGCTGACAGCTGGCAGCATCCACTGACCACATGCTCCAGGTGTGGGCCACAGGTTTTCTTAGAAAGGGAGGTTTGGATGGGATATCTCTGTATCCATCACAGATGCTTACCTGTGTATCTTTCTTAATAGCCTCAGGATGAATTCCCAGAAATGGAATTGCTGAGACAGAGCAGGGGCCTTTGAAACACTCTTTATATTTAGTATTGCCAAATGATCTTCCAGAAAGATTGTACGCCTTTCTCCCAACAGTTCATTTCATGGCTGATGCATGAAAAATACGACAACTGTACTGCTTTATGTTCTTAAACACTGAAAGATCTTTCAAATTATTTTGGATGATAGAAGTACAAGGTATTCACTAAATATTTAACAGCAGTTCTTGGATAGCAAAAAACAAAACAAAACACTTGCCAGTTTCTTTTTTATTTTTAAAAGTTTTTAAAAGTTTGCAGTACATAATGATTACATTTCTTATGGACAGCTGGTCTATGTATATAAGCTCTTGGTCCCCTTACCTTTGCAAAAAATCTATATTCTTGTTTCCCATTGTTTTTTATTCCTCTTTCCTATTTGTCTTTTATTTCCTAAATGTCTTTTATTTTGCTTTTATTCCATCCTCTCCATAAGTTTGGCCTGATTGGAGTGTTAGGAAGAGGCAGAGATGGCTGGTTCAATGGGAAAGGTGCACTTCAGCAGGAACAAGTGCATTCCTGAACCTTGCCAGCTCTTTCAAACTTTCATTGATTATAGACAGTGCCAATAAAGTGGGGAGGGGTGTTAAACAAAAGTAAACCTACCAAATAAACAAAACTCATCACTCAACCCAGGTGGTTTTTATTCAGAAGAGTAAATGGGCGCCAATCCAGTCTTTAAATCTAACTTCCAGGGGTCAAGAAATAGAGGAAAGAGAAAGAAGTTGACACCACACAGCAGCACAAACCAAATCCAGAAGGCAGCTGGGTTCTTCAACATGACAATGCCATTCCTAAAACGGGAGGAGGGGCCGGAGGAGCTGGCTTTTTTAGAGCAAAAGAGATAAAATCAAATATCACCACGCATATCTATTGATCGAATCCTGGTCTGACCAAGTCAGGGTCATTTGGAGAAATTCAAGCCTGGATTGCCAATTAACGTTAGTTTAGTTAGGTGAGAAAAATGGGATGGTAATGCAGGAAAGCGTCCTTTTAAATACAAGATATATATTGGAACATTTACCATGAAATAATCTAAAAATTTGTTAAATACAGAACTCAGGCTTTAGGTATTCATTATACCAGTATCGCTATATCTTTGGCGTTTTTCATCACAAAAAGTAAACAGCCAATCAGAAAAATAAGAATAAAGTGTTGCTTCCTTTTCATAAAGATGAAACCCATCTTTATCTTTCTGCAAAGGTGCAGTGATAAAACTTCAACACGCCTTCACTCTCTGGCCCCGCTACAGATACTGAATAACTTGTCACCCCGCTGCCCCTCAACCCCGAATGTCCCCACGATTTGAAGGGTGGGAGTTTAGAGGTTATTTGTGAGGGCAGTCAAACGGCCCGAACTGGGCCGAGCCGGTGGGAGACTGCCCTTGGGGACACCGAGCGTCAGACCC